CACCAGACCATTCATTAAGCTTGACTAGTCGGCAGAGACAATCTTCTGGAAGAAATCAGAGGTGGAAAGTGATTTTTCGAAGACAATGGCTCCAAGTCACGGTGCGTTTGTTTTGAACTTGAGACATCATTGTAAGATCGCTTTCCTGGTCCATCTGTGGCAGATTATCCAACCTACCAAGGTTATTTTCAATATTTGACAACCAAAGAATTCAATTGGCCCGATATTTTGCGTGTAGGTGTGGGGGAGCTCACACTTATAAAAAAATCTTAAAACAAGAATGCTGTACGATTGATGTCCAAATGTTCCGTCTTCCCGTGATGCATTTCGATCGTGCATAGAAGTTTGTTGTACCGGGTCTTCAAAAGAGGGCTGTTTAAAAATCTGCAGTGGATTTGACAAAATAAAGACGTCGAAATGACTGGACTTTTTGCTAGGAGAACATATTTTGACTCTATAAATTGAGATGATATTCAAGATCTACTAGTAAGAAGCTCGTACGAGCAATTTCAGGGCTATAGATAACTATTTCGGAAAGTTATAGATTTTTGACGCATAGGTCGAATTCGATCTAAATTTCAAGGGGCGAACGGGAAAGAGTTAAGGTAAATTTAGGTTTTTCCGTTCGATAAACAAACGATCTGACCTAAATTTACAATGAGTTGCATAAATTAACGCTCCCTAGGGAATTCAAATCCGCAATAGTTTGATTGGCAACGCCTTATATGGAAGTTAAATAATCCATCATCTTTTCATAGTCGAAAATGCTTCAAAATCAACAAATAAACACCTTTCGTCAAAGGGTTAATTCTTCTTTTGATAATTTTTATTTTACATGAGCGCATTGAGTTAGACAAGGTATTCAACAATAAAAAGATCTCTAGCAAACACGACTTGACGGAGATGAATTCTGTATCTCCAAGCAACCATGTAAGATCCTGTTTATCTYGTTACATGTAATAATATCAAATGAAAGAAAATGATACTTTTAGAGCTATAARGAATATCTTACATTAAAATGGGTGCAAATAACAACATGACATARTTTAAATATCGTATTCGAGAATTTAATGAGGTTTTCAATCAAGAAAAACATTTCAAACAAACTGCACAAATGAGTGCACTAATCCCACATTAAAAAAAATAACATAAGGGTATGGCACGCTAGATCAAGAGTCAAACATTTGGTGTTGGTATTCTTACAGTTMTTAAGAACTCTTGCTAAAAGAACTACAAAACTGTGAGAGATTAGGTAGGATGGAACGTCTAGTTGTTATAGATAGAGCGTACAAAGTACGTTTTTCTTGGTGATTTTCATATTTTTCAGACACGATAAGTAATTGAACGTGGCTGCATTCTTAGGTACTTTCTGAAATGTTATAGTGAATGAATATTTACGGCAAGGAGCCGTATCAGAGAAAAGAAACATTGCTAATAAAAATCATGCTTCTGGCATTAATAGATTAAAAGTTTATGCAGTTTTTATTAAAATAAAATCAAACAATGCTCTTTCTCCATAGCCGATTCAGTGAAATTTCAGTTATCGACCAAATTGTTGATTGTTGTTCTTTCTATCATCTGGTCTATGTGAACATTCCTCGACCACTTAAATAATAGAGAAGATGGTATGCGAACTTTCCTTGAAAATGTTTTGCCTAGGAGAGGATAGTCTTACAATTAATTATATCTTTTACACTAGGAAACTCAACGGCAGTCGTATGATTCTATCAACGATCGAGAAGCTTCAACCTATACTTACTTGGGAAGGTTTTATCAGCTTTAAGGGACCGGAATTTGTTTTTGTTTTAGGTTTCGTAGTCAAGTGGCTGAATAATTTTGTCAATTCGTACCCTCCTGAAAACAGCACCCCGCCAAAGCAGGTTATGAAAGCTTGAATTAGCAGCACAGGTTAAAGAAAAGAAAGAAAGCTAAACGGAAAACTTGCAAACGAATAAGAGTAATATTTTCATTTATTAGCTTTTGAGGATAATTAAGGACAGTTTACACTTGCGATTTTTGTAGTGCGATTGTCGARCGACCATCACCTGTTAAACGTACGATTTGAGTTTTGCGATATCAAATTGGCGATTATCGCAAGTATAAACCGTCCTTTAAGGAATATCAATATTAAGCAGTACATTTGTATTTCAATCAAAACGTCACTTAAAGGATTGCTTAATTATAGGATAGCTTTATATGCTTAACTCAAATCATGATTTCTATGATTTATAAAAGCCGTTCTCATCCAATGGGTTTAAGTGCTTCGGTCTCCGAATCCGCTGTCTCCTTAGTTGGTTTGTTTTTCGTCTCTGGGAGAGTAAAACACAGTACACAGACGATGAACGCAGCTACGGCAAAGATGGAGTACGGTATCAAAGCATGGATACGGATCTGTAACAACCAACGAAGTGAGACAGTCGTTTGTTAAGTTCTCGACTCCAATCATAACGACAATTGAATAATGATATATAACTTACAAGTTGAACTATAAATGGCGCTGAAATCGAACCAATTCTGCCGGMTGCAGACGACATCCCCATACCAACATTCCTATTCATAATAAAAATTTCAAAACTTGAATTTGAGMAATGCAATCAAATAACCCAATTTTCCATCCCACACAAACACGGCCAGCTATATTGGAGCTTCCGAAAGGGCTACGTTACGACAAAATAATTTTTGAAAGTTTTCGACCTCCTTCATCCAGAAATCCGTGTGCGTTTGTTTACAAATCAGCCTCATGCTAAAACTTTTCAGCGTGACAAAATTTACATCATTCAAGAAACTCAGGATTCAAAACTTGCATCACTTGTGTGACTTTGCTCCGGCTTAAATGAATGTTAATTTGATATTTGGCTACCATTTTACACTCATTTACTTACCTGGCCACAGTCGGAAAGAGCTCGGCGGAGAGGACGTATAGTGCGTCAAAAGAAAAGGTAATGAAAAACTTGGCGGTCATGGACATGATGATGCGCCCAACCCGAAATCCTACAAAAATGATTTAAGATTGCTCAAAACTTTTGTGTTTTGGACATTTATTTAACAAACATGCAATCATGCAATGTCACTCGTAAATAATTAAGGCAATTCTTAAAAAAATCACGTGGATATTTCTAGAGCTCTCTAGGACCTTCTAGTACATTCCTTATAAGGGGGTGCAGGACACTCTCATTTAAAGGATTTGCATTGTAAACGTTGCCATGAAGGAGTCACAAAATAGGGGAGAAGTATAAAAATTATAGCGTATCAGAAATGCCATCGCATCTCATCTACTGAGACTACTACCTGGGTCCAATCCTGTAYTTCAAATATTTTTATCAGTGTATGTGTTGCTAGACATTTGGGAGGAGCTTGCTAATAGCTATTCAAAGAGAAAATTTATCCGTGGCCGGCTCGAAGGACGAGTGATGCTTTTATTAAACTGATGTGTGCATGTTAAAATGATTTGCCGACCTGTTTGTGATGGATCTCTCTGGAGAAGAACCGCAGCTGTGGACGCTATCGATGCCAGTATCAAACTAACCAATAAGCTTTTCTTTCGACCAAATCTATAGACAACATATAATCAAGTGATTAAAAATATTGAATATGCAATTAAAAGGTGTGCGGATAGCTCAAGGGGTGTTGGGTGCTAATCGTCCTTCATGGCAGCATAGGTGCTGAATTGCGAAAGACGCAGCTCGACGCGCTCTCAAGTCGAAGTGCTATATTACAGACACATTTTACAGACACTTACACATAGGCGTGCTGCCGGCTAGGCGCTTCCTTTACATAGCAACGAACGACTGAACGCGGAGCACAGCAGATAGAAATGGTTCGTTTTTACTGAGGGAGGAAAACCCGGAAAGACCCGGAAAAACCCTCGACGCAAGGGAGAGAACGAAAGAAACTCAAATCACATATGGCGCCCCGACCGAGATTCGAACAGGGTCCACAGAGGTGACAGGCCTACGCTCAATTGAGCGTAGTGAGATAATTACCGGTCGTCATTCCTAATAGGTAGCAGTACAATGACATTAGTAACGAACCGAYATTTTGCATGAAACGACCACAAAACCGGCCTAAAACGGGCATACTAAACCGGCCATACTGGCTTGTAAAAAATGTAGACAACCTCAAAAAAACCTTCAATTTTCTTAGTTTTGAACATCCCTGTAGATATTTTGTCATCCATGATCCTGGGGGATTTAATACCATGCAACCGTTTCATGCAAAAGGCGTATTGGAAATTGCTATAAAACAAAAGTGGATAACATACCTATTCATAGACTTTATTGAGAAGAAAATTTGGGGGATCTCGACGATGGCTATTAAAAAGAACGCAAGATAACGATTTCCACCAWAGGAGTCAAAGCTAAACATTATCCCCCAGTAGACCATGCCAACGACTGCCCTAAAGAGCAATATCACATGTGCCTTTAAAACCAACCATATTTACAAAAGATTAAATAGCACATATGATAAATATTATAATCTTTACTGTCTACTACTCAGCTTACCAACTGAACCAAATACTTAGAGTGATTCTAGCAGTTCTGAAAGAGCAGAACAAGTCTCGTATRTCCCCAACACGTTGTTTCTCCTCCATGATTGTAACAGGATTCGGTGGCATCTCTTTGCGGTTGAAACGTGCAATCTTGGTGAAATATGCTTTGCTTTTATCTTGTTTTCCTCTGGTTATTAACCATCTCGACGATTCTGGTAAGCACCTTATGGGAATAAAGGTAAACAAAGGCTTTATCGAGGTTGAGAKTAATTCGTTATTGGCTGATTCGGGTTATCAATAAACATCTGGTATTCTTACTTCAAGCGGGAATTTGGGGAACTCAGAGTAAACGTACCACCAAAAAAGTAYGAAACGGATTTAGATATATATYGGACCGTATAGTGGCAAGCTGCCATCGGTCTTCCGAAAGGRCCATTGACTGCAGCGTATAAGGACCTCCATGGCAATAAATCACATATGTTTTCGACAAACGGCATCACAAGTGTTTGAGCTATCTCTTAGGCTCTGACAACCCGCATATCCTCTTAAATCTTTAGCGCATTTTTTGTGCYCCCATTTTTCTTTCCTGCCAGGTACCATAATTTCYCTCATTGTAGTTTTCAACAGGTTATCGAGTGAGTATCTTATATGATGGATTTTTTATACTCCTGTTTGATAACAACAAATTTAACCAAATTAAGGTCATTGATTTACTACACGTTCTTAAACTTTAGTCCAGTAATTCTACTTTTCAGGAAAAAAAATCAAATAATTTTAACATAAACGAGGACTACATACCACCAGAAGAATACCTGCAGTAAACCAGGAACTGCAGCGGCAATAGAAAGCATCCTCCAATCTCGTATAAGGTACGCAAATAATACTAACATCATCAGYGATAYGGTGAAGAAGTACCACAAGCTTGTGCCAGCCATTGCGCGATGTTTGACGCCCACGTACTCGACCATGAGAATAAAAATAGCCAGAGATGTACTACCTATTATAAAGGGAATGATATACCTCAAATAAAAACAAATAGACTGGAACGAGAGAAAAAATTTAAACGATTTTAAATAGAAACAAGATTCACTAGTGGAACGCACCGAGTCCAAGTTGCGTAAGGCGTATAGATTTTTTACAGCGCCGTGTTTGATTTGATAGATTCTACGTAAATGTGTTTACACATAATTTCTTTTGAACATTATTACCATTACAGCAAAAATTTAGCATTCGGCTTGCATTCKAATTATACTCAGAKAATTTCAGGGGCGGATCCAGCGGGACGGTTTGRGTGGCTTAAAGTTTTGAAAAAAAAAGAAATTAAATAAAAGGATTATTGTATAACGGAAAATACTTTGAAATCATATAGAGTGAGAACAACTGTTTGATGCAACTAATGTTTATATATTCATGAATATTTCATGTAAAGTTGAAAAGTCCGAGATACTATAGGTGTGTCCGAGATAACGATAAACGATATTTTCGCATAAACCTAAAGAGTCAAATTAATTGTAACGTACTTTAATATTAAATTCTAATGTTAGTCACCCCCCTCTGAAAAATCCTGGATCTGCCCCTAAATTTATAAGATGAAAGGTCGCTTTGCATTTTAGAAAGAAAAAAAAAAGAACAATCATATTTTAAAGTTAAAAAAAGAAAGAAAGAAGAAAATATATTTTCTTACATTTGATCATTAAAGAGTTTGTACGCTTCATCGTACATGTGAACTTGTTTTTAAATAATCTCTTTTGAAACACTATGACCAAGACTTTCAATGAAACATGTTTCACGATCATTTACTGATCTTTTCAATCATTGKWACGTTACTCAGCTGATTACAACTTTGTAAAAACAGGTCTCGTTGAAGCRCTATAGAACAMATTGAAAAYGAGCTTGGAGGTCGCAATACAACAATTTCTGCAGTGCAAAAAGAAAAAMGAGAAAGACGAAGGAAATAAGAAGRAATTACACTCAYTGGCAAAGCTAATAAATTGAGAGAGTCTTGAAAAGATGCAAAAGTCTACTCCTGACTTACCAAGGCAAACTCCAACRAGTCCCCTAAGAACCGCAAACAGCCAAAAAACGTTGGCAAATGAGGCAGTCAAGGCAAGTACGCTAGCGATCAAAGACGGGTAAAACACTATTGGTTTACGTCCACACTTGTCAGACAAAACACCACCAAATACTACGCCAACCATATATCCAGCAAACACTATACTCTTAGCTATGCTGGACAAGCTTGATCGGTCGCATACAAGATCCCACTAGAAATGAATTAGACGAAGTTTAAAAAATGTATTTAACATGCATTAAGCAACACTTCGCGAGCTAAAAGTGGATTATATTATGGTTTTAAATGAAGAATTTCATCATTTGATTTTAGCAGGTCTATAGGCAATATGTTATCCACTTTATCTCTCACAAACTAATTATGAATAGAAAGGGTATTTTTGATGCAGTAACMATCGTGCATGAATTCGTCAAGGCGAGCCTGTGATCTAATACTGTCTTCTCAAATGATAARGATTAGCTTAAAGTTCACTAGCATACGTAATATATTTAGTATTGTATTTGAAGTTTCTRCGTTTTCAAAGTTAATGTAAATTGATACAAAATGATGGAACAAAATGACGACATCCTTGCTTGGTACTTACTTCTGATACAATCGARGTAAATTCACTCGTATCAAACTCCCATTGGTCACGATGAAGGCTACATCGTAGTTTATAACCATCTTGCCCCGGTGATAGRCTACCAGTTATATTGCAAGATGTGCTGTTACTTACGCAGCGCCATGGAGGCTCCGCAGCCAAGAAGGACGCTATCATGCCCTGAATCCCATCACCAAAGATCATCATGAAGCCCATCAGTATCAAAAGAACAAATTGGTATCGCCCAAAGCTGCCAATTTTGTCCAGCACCTCGTCGGTTGATAAGGGATCCATTTTGGTTTAGATCAGTGTCTACAGTTGAAGAATATATTTTATAATCGTTTTAGTGATCTTTCGTGATACATTCAGGGTATGTATTCCTTGACAATTCTATAGCACAGCAAAAGCTTGGATTCAAAAAATATATATTTATTCCATAAAAGCAGACATGGCTAAATTTGTATATATTTTCATCAGTGTGCACTTACCTCAGAAAAAATGTAAAACTGAGTGTTTACTTAAGCTTTCACACCTTGTATTGTATCTTCACAATGGCCTATTAATTAAATGCTTGGCTGAATTTTTTGGTTATGTCCGTAAAACCATGGAGAGTMATAATTTAACGAAAATGTTGCCATACATATGTATACATATAGAAAAAAATCCCTTCGCTCGAACAACTTCAAAATCGGGATTGAAGTTTGTGACTTGTTAGCTCGATTTCGAGCAAAGAGCAAACAGGGATTCCGCGTCGAACAAAATAGTCATTCCGCTCATTTTATAAATCCGAAGCACGTTTTAGCATCTCGTCATTTTCTAACAGGAAAATAAACTAGAATGCTTGCAAGATATATCTTTATGTTGTAGTCACACAGACTATATTGGTTTATGAAATTTAAGTTTTTTTTCTTGTTTAAATGAATTTATCCATTCATCTGAAAAACGTACAATGCTTGTAGTTTCTGAACCAGATATTGTGCAATCGTGTTGTAGTATAAAGTGCGATTGAGTCGAGAGTGATTACTTACTTAAATGAAACTATTGGTAGCCTTATATTTACTCCTTTTATGCGACTGTGTCGACGATGTGAGGTAAGTTAATTTATTCTGTTTGTTATGCCATATCTTTCCCATAAAAAAAA